CAACAGGTACTTACGTATTAAAAGCTGGATACTTGAATCCTTACTACATGTAAATATAATTTTATTCTTTAGAAGTTACTCTCTTTTTTTTCCTGTGATTTGTCCTTTTCCTCTTCCTTCCCCACTACTTTAATGACATGTGATGACAGGTTTTCTGTGTGCACTGTGCCCTTACAGCTATCATTATATGAACACCTGAACATACTCTTTGGAGATCACTCACGGAAAATAATCTGTTGTTATTTATTGTGGTTTTTAGCAGAATATAAGTACCGTAGTTGGTTGCTAACATCACCACCTTGTGTACAAATATTTTTTTGCATGCAGTTTCCTAATGTCATTAAGCAGTATTGTAATTTCATTATGTAGTAATGTAGCACTTCGATTGCAGACAACATTTAAATAATTTTGTAATTCAAAATCTGAAAAAATAAGCTATGGTTTATTTTTAGTCCTTTGCAATTATTTAAGTAACTAACACTCCTCTGCACTTAAATAAGAGGCAAAAATGCCCTAGAGCCCTCAAGAACTGAGAATTTATCAAACTACTCTCTAAGAAATGGCCAAGGAATTCCAAGTAAGAAGGAAAAGAACAAATTAAATTTCCTGAATATTCATAATAATACCAACAGTGCATGCAGCCAGAGCCTACAGTATCTCGTTGGTGAATCTCTTAACAATCTTTTTCTCTAAGCATTTTTAGCTCACTCAATAAGCTAATATTGGAAATTCTTACTTACCTGAGGGTATCATTTTGGTTTCTTATCCCAGGATGAGGAGAACCACTGGGATATCAAACTTCTTTTTCAGTGGCTTCTGGCATGTCAGAACCTCACAGCAAGCTTTATAATTTTCAATAGTCCTTGGAGATCAGTGAAGTTAGGTTGACTGGACTCCATTACTTCTCGAAAGGATATACCTTGTAATCTAATGGAGGAGGTAGTAGCTAGAGGGGAAAAGACCAGAATATTTTATAAATTCAGTGTAGGTCCCAAAGGAAACAAACATGCTCCCTGTTACTCCCTCTCACAATACAAATTCCAACCTATTTCTAGAAAGAAGCAATTTCACATTTGGATTTTTGTGTTACTTCTCACATAGTTTCTCAATCTCTCTCTCTGTAAATGAACTTATTTTAAAACTTACTACCTCACATTGTAGCTAAATAAGAACTATTATAAGTTGTTGAAAGTAGCATAAAATGTTTCTCTCACTTTTAGAGTTTTTCTATATGAAGTTTGATTATATGGTGAAACCTTTACAATATTCCTAAGGATACAATCCTTAGGGCAAAGCACAGCAATCTGAATTTGTTGTGTGTGTGCACGTGTGCGTGCTTGCGCACGCCTGTCTGTCTGTCTGACTTTGATAAAGTTGGTTATTTTCAAATGGAAGTTCACTTGATAAGTCTAATAAATCTTTGTAAATTAAAAATTATATGTGCAGCAAAAAAAAAAAAAGAAATGAGCTATCAAGCCATGAAAGACATGGAAAAAACTTATAAGACATATTACTAAATCAAAGAAGCCAGTCTGAAAAGGTTACAAACTGTATGATTCCAACCGAATGACATTCTGGAAAAGGCAAAGCTACAGAAACAATAAAAAGATCATGGTTTCCAGGGGTCTGGGGAGAGGGAGGGAGGGAGGGAGGAATGAATAGATGGAGCACAAGGGATTTTCAGGGCAATGAAATTATTCTGTATGATACTGTGGTGGTGGCTACATGTCATTACGCATTTGTCAAAACCCATAGAATGTACAACATCAAGTGTGAACCCTAATGCAAACTATGGACTTTGGTTGATAATAATGTGCCCAGGTTGGCTCATCGATTGTACCAAATATGCCACACTGATGAGGGATGTTGAGGGTAGGGGAGTATATATGTGTGGGTGGGGAGGGCTATGTGTGAACTCTCTGTATTTTCTGCTCAATTCTGCTATAAACCTGAAACTGCTCTAAAAAATAAAGTCTATTAATAAAAAAAATTTAAAAATAAATACATAAATCTTGCTATATCGACTGGTGATTAGTTTTCTTCTAGTCTTGACCTTAATAGGTTCTTCTAACAAGAGATTAAGAAAATCTTGAAAAGGTAGGTAGCTTTGACCAAATGAATTTGGAGGTATTTTTACAATGATAATTACTCTAGTAAATTTAGCAACAAAAGCACAAAGTAAGGCTAGATTTCAGTTCCTCTTATTAAACTTTATGTCAAGTCTTTTAGCTCTGGTTTCTGGCAAATTACACATGGGAGGATTACTAAAAGGAGATGGATTTTCTTAAGATTATTTCTCATTTTTTAATACTATAATCATGTTAATAGTATATTCATAGATTATCTCTTGGTTTCCAAAGTACAAAAGTGATTTCTTTTGCGTCAACAGCAATACAATGAGGTTGGTAGGAAAGGTACCCAGTTTTGTAGACGAGCAAATGGAAGATCAGAGGCATGACTAGGAAATGCTCCTGAGCATATAGATGTTGGTTGTAGAGCCAATAGAGAACTCAGGTTTTGTGATTCTTAGTTCAATGTTATGTCCTCCACTCTCACACCACTCTCGTCTTTGGGGACAAGCATAGCACTCTTTAAATGTAGATATTAGCAGTGAAGGCCATTTTCTACATGTTTCCTCTATGCTTGGTAGAAGTCTATCCATGCAGAGGTCTATGCAGGAAGGTCACCCTGGTGTCATCCTGTCAAACACAAGTCAGGTTCACCATTTACTTACTCCTATGTTCTTAACTTAGACTCAAACAGATGGTCATTGCGGGGGGCTGTTTTATTTAGCTCTGGCAACAAACAAATGTGTGTATACTTATATACATGATAAATATGTAAAACTTGTGAGATCTCTAATGATTCAAAAAAGCATAAAATAACTTTTTTTTGAAATGTACCAAAAAGGAACAAAACTTTACAGACACTTTCTTATGGATTTCATTTTAAAAGACATCCAGCTTCCATCCTAGTATTATTTATTTAATATACGACAAATGTATCAAGTGTCTGATGCTTAAAAGAGGTCAATCACTAATGAATTTAAAGGGAGTAAATGAACTTGCAAAGGCTTTAGAATATTTGGTGGATGTTTTCTCTTTAAGTTGTATCCACTTATGTCAAGCAATGTTACTGAACAGCATAAACTCTAATGTAAAACTGAGATTCATGCAACTCGTCACTTTTTCTATTGGTTAATCATATTTGTAAAAGTGACAATGGAAATGAAAAACAATGTTGCTACATTTTAATAAAGGTGATTTTCTGAGGCTACAAAAATAGTATGTAGTTTTTTAAAATCCTATTTTAATTTTTTAAATGTACACAGGAGAATAAACAAATACTAGGTGGTGGAAGTTACTTAACAATCTCTTACTTCTCCCCGGAGATTCAGAGAATGAAACAGATTTCTATAGGACAAAAATGCAGCTAAATGGCCTCCTTGGCAAATATTTGAAGTTACTTCTATTCCTGAGATATTAAGAAAATGTCACTTAAATAAAGATGAAATTGAACAAAGCTATCACTACCTAGAGAAGAGAAGTAAACAGTGGAATTTGATCTAAACTAACTTTATTTCCTAAACTCAAAACCTTAACAACAAAGCTCTTAACATGAGCAACTTTGTGAACTGAAAGAAGGGGCAGCCTAATTTCCTTCCATGCATCAAGCCAAAGAAACGAAGGGAGAAAATCATTCTTCTCTGTTGGCCTCCTGTGTAAAATTTCTTTTTTTATCATCCCATCTCGTCATATCTTTCTGCAGTGTGAATTACCCTCTTTTCCTCAGACTGGTAAGGCAGTGAAAGGATGTTTGTTCTGCTAATTAACTTTATTACCCTGATAACTCCCTGCAGCCTTTGATGAAAACAATTACCGTTACTCCTTTTTTCCCCCCACTGGCAAAAAAAAAAAAAAAAAAAAAAAAAAGGGAAAAGGGAAAAAAAGACTATTAATTAGAAACGAGGCCCAGGTCCCTGCCATGTTATCCTGCCACGTTCCCAGGCCCTCGAGCAGGATAGCATTACATTGTCAGTAGTAATTTAGCTCTCATCTGTCTCTGCTAATTATTGTCACATTCATCAAATTCATCAACAAAAGTGCTCTCAGAAGGATTGCATATTTGCAGTTAATACAGCATAAACTGGTATTACCCATCACCACATTTGTGATGATGAGAGGGACACAACTTATTCATCCCTAATTAGAGCAAGCTGGGTAATTAATTATGCATTCCGCCTTATTACTTCTGAGTTCCCAGATATTGTTTGTCTAAAAAGGGGGAGAAAGCAGGAGAGAGAAGCCTGAAAATGCAAAAAAAAAAAAAGGGTGATGTGTTTTGTCACATGCGCTATGCCATAATTCCCACCTGACAAACTAGCTGAATCAGTGGAAAATTGCGAGTTGTCAGCAGCAGAATAAACTGCTGTAATAGCTGATTAATGATCAGCACCTGTGACAGGTGCTGTACGGGACTGTAAACTTGGTTTGATTAACAGTCACTGGACGAATAAATATTAGTGACAGTCAGTGGAGAGCAAGTTTGCTTGTTTTCTTCCCTGTTAACAAATCGCATGCATTAAAGTTATTGATATTTCTGTCTGAGACACTATTTTTTTTTGTAGTTATCTGGCAACATTGGCAGTGAGTTATAATAGATTGTGTTTGTTTCTGTTCTGTAATTTTATTTCAGACCTCAAATTGTATTTTGACAAGATGACCTGTAGGGGTTTAAATCTACCAGGTGTGGAAGAAAAGACTGAAAAAAAAAACAGGATTCACACTTGGTTTAATTTATGCTCACCTGCTAGTAATCTGTGTACGAGTGTGTGTGCACATACACATACACACATACATACAGGTATCCATTGTATCCACTTACATGTATGTACAAAAACTATTAAGGAATGTTCATGCTAAAAAAAATACAGACACAAACTTAACAGTCCATGGTGGTCAGTTATTTGAAATAATTTTTTAGTTGATTTTTTGTGTCAGAGTTGGATATTTTCTCCAGAAACATTGGCAGTCTGAGTTCCCCGAATCCTGTCTCAATCCCAAACTGAAGGGACCGTCTTCCTGAGGCACCTATTCAAAACTGCTGCCAGCTTGGTTGCTTCTACTGAATTGAACAGTTAATGACAGGTTGGTCGGGAGGCGATGAACCTGTTTGAGCTTACTGATCATTAACCAAGAGTCAAGTTTTGTGCATAGGCAAGCAAAGCATGAATGATGGAAGGAACTCAGTCTTGTCTTTTTTTGTTTGTTTGTTTTAGGTCACAGTAAAGGAAGCCATTTGACTTCACTGTGGTAGTTTTGAATTATGTATAGAATGGTTAGGATTGTGGGTTTTGGAATCCTAAAGACCTGCTTTCAGACTTTGATCCTGCTCACTAGCTGTGTGAGTTTGGGTAAATTACATAACCTGTCTGATTTTTCAGCTTCTCAATTATGAAATGGGAGCATCACCAAGCTGTACTATAGTGTTACTGTGAGGATTAAATGAGATAATGCATGTAGAGCACCCTAGCACAGTGCCTAGAATAGAAAGCACTTAAAAATTAACATTTAGTTATTATGAGCATAATTGTTTGAAATTAGAATAGTCAAATTACCTTCAATTTCCATTTCACACGATGAAATGTTTTAAGAACTAATTATCTTTTTTCTTTAACATATTCCAAAATAATAACAAAAATTAAAAGAAAAGCCTTTCTGCACACCTATCCCTACATGAAAACTGAGAAAAGGTTAGCGATATCCCTGGGTAGTAGCCATCCCGAGGTGCTACTCTGGTTTATTCAGATGTTTCTCAGCGGCGCAAAAGTTGGAATTGGTGAGGTGGGTCACACATGTCTTCAGAATGTCTTCAGAAACTTCTGGGGTGATGGCAGAGACAGATCTGACTAATGTTTGTTTAGCACAACCTCATATTCTGGTAGAATCAAGACAGTAAAAAATCAAGCATGAAAAATAAAAATAAAAATAACAACATAAAAGTAAGTTCATTTTGATAATTTAGTATGTATCTATTTCCATATCAACCACCTAACAGAGAATGAAAGTGCAGAGAGGTAGTACAGCGCAGTCACAGTTTCTGAAACAGTGCTGAGCAGCAATAAAACTACCACATTCCTAGGGCATTAGGGAATACGTGCTTGTTGGGTCAGATTTAATCAATATTTAAAGTCAACTTATCTAGATAAAAAGACAAAAGTAAAGGAGGTTTATAGGTTTGGTTGTGTTTACACTGATCCTAAGAACCTTCCGGAAGTAGTTGCATGAAGCATCATAATGCTTTGTTTTTAAAATAGTGTTTTAAATTCATTTTTAAATTTTAAAAAAGTATGTCATAAAACTTTCAGAAAAATAATGATGTTTAATAATAAAATATATCACTTTTTGGGGGAATCACAAAAGCAGTGGTTCTCAACTACCACATATTAGAATAACCTCGGAGAACTTTTTTTTTAATAGAGATGTCAGGACCTACCACTAGGTAGTCAGGTTCTATTGGTCTTGGGGAGTCCCCTGGGCATTGGTGTGTTTAAAAATTTCCCCAGGTGAGATACACACACACAAGCTTTAGAACTGAGGATAAATATATCAAATTAGAAATTTATGTAATAAGATTTAATGTAAAAAGCAAAAACAGCTTCACATCACAGAACTGTTACTGTGAAATGGATGTCTAGAAGCTTAAGTGCATCACATGTGGGAAGTTTAAAGTTATCTGCAGTTTCTACTTAAAGAATCATGATGGAAATACTTTTTTTCTTCATTAATTCAATCAGAGGGAAAAATATCTAGTAAGTCAAACAGTAAGAATGATGTTCTGAATTCACCAACTCATTTCATATCACTAATTAGAATTGTTGGGTCAGTTGTCTTATCTCATTGGGAAAAAATAAACCCATTGGAGGTGGCCAGACCATTTCTGTGGCTGACAGGTGAGCTAGATGGTGGCAGGGCTGGTGGCCTGCTTCCAAGTAGATATACTGCTGCACAAATGGTGACAGAAAATCAGGGGATCAGAATGTTGCTGATATTTGGCACTTATAAATGTGGGTTAACAATCCACGTACTCCATGCCTGCTTCTGTCTGCACTTTGTTACATGAGCTTTGATCAATGCATGTTGCATATGAGTGGGTGGTTGTAGGAGGATTCATTGATCTGTCACTTCATCATTGCTTCTCACAGTCACACAACTCAGGAAACCCTGTGAAGTAAGCTGGAAATTGCCTGTCTGGCTAAAGCTCTGATATTTTAGATAATGATACAGTTTCATTAGGGAGGTAGCTCATTCTCGGCTAACTTCTACATCTATATTCCAGAATTCCTGTGTTCTCATAAAGTCTTAATTTAAAATTTTAACTATTAAAAGGCAAAAAATAATCCACTTCTGGAAATTCAAAGAGGAAAAGTCTCACTTGGCACATGGGGTTTCGGGGTGGGTCAACAGAGAATGCCTTACATCAAAGGATAACTTGATCCTACTGAATTTCCCATGGTCTGGAACAAGGGTGGGCAACAGTAGGATGATTTGGCTTGCAGTTATGTTTGCAAGGCCCCAAGCTAAGAACGGTTTTTGTAGTTTTAAATGGTTTAAAACATTTTTTAAAGTATTTTGTGACGTGAAAATTATAGGAAATTCAAATTTCAGTGTCCGTAAATAAAGCTTTTTTGGAATACAGTTATGCCCATTTGTTTCCATATTGTCTATGGCTGCCTTTGCTCTAAACAGCAGAGTTTAGTAGTTGCAACAAAGACCCCAGATGCCACACATAAACCTAAAATACTTCCAACTTAGTTCTTTCCAGAAGAAGTTTGCTTATCCTTGCTCTAGAGGAGTAGTTCTCAAATTTTAATTTGCACACAAATCCAGGCTCTTTAAAATACAGACATTATTCAGTAGGTCTAGAGTGGGGCCTGAGATTTGACTCTGCGTTTCTAACAGGCTCTTGGTGATGCTGATGCTTCTGGTTTGAGGACCACACTTTGAGAAACAAGGCTCTAGACTATGACCCTCACCAAACAGGCTTACAAGATTGAAATCAGTCTGATCAGGAGCAGATCTTTCAGGAATGGACTCATGTTAACTAAGCTTACAAGACGGATGTTGAAACCTAGAAATTGAATTTGTTAATATGTTAATGAAAAATATGATAGGGACTGCTCCAGAATCATTTGTTCCTAAGACATGCCACCTGAGATGCCAAATTAGAGCAGAGGATAAGAATGGATAGGAAACAGTAAAGGACAGTTGTGTGTTTAGGTCGCTCAAAAACTTCAGACTAAGAGAGATTTGCTAGTTCACTGCTACTGGCAACAGAGTGGTGGTTTTAAAATGTACCTGGAATTTGTTTTAATCAGGTATGGTTAGTGACATGCAGTCACACAGATGTGGACATGACTCTCATGAGGGAAGAAGTTTTATATCCACAGATCCCGAGAAATAGGAGGCACAGCATGTTATGCAGAGGGCACAGAGGGAAGCACCGGGGTTGGTCAGGAGGCAGAAGGAGCAAGGGGAAAACGTGGGCACGAGTCTTTATTGTGGTTTTCGAGAGCAGGAATAGGTGAGGCAGGATAAGCAGGTTTAGGATTGGCTAGTTTGAATAATGTCAGCAGCTGGGGGTGGGGAGGGAGTTAGGGACTGTCTCTAATTGTTGGGTACCCTGTGGAGTGTTAGGGCCGGGCGGATAGTGGTCCAGAGTGAAAGCTAGACAAAGGAGGGAGTTGAGGGTATCAGCTTTGCATGGGGTGGTTTGCATACAGAAGAGTAGTCACTTTGGGTGGTTTGCTCTCTAGGAATTAGCTGGCCCTGGGAGGGGAAGTCTCCCCCAGTGTCAGTAAGGCTCTAGATACCAAAATACCAGAAAACAGAGAAAATAAAAAGGCATGATGACTAGTACAGCTGGGTCCTTGGACCAGGACATCCTTACCTAGGGTGGTTATGGGATGGACACTGCCCATACACACCTCACTGATTTTTTTTCTTTGTTTTCTGTAGTTGACCAATGTCCCTTCTAATTGGCTTATTTTTCCTTCAGACCTGTTAATTTTTTTAGGTTATAGAGACATTCTTCTGGTCTGAGGATCCTTCAGCCTCTGGGGATCCAAAGATCCTTGGATTTTGTGGGTTAATTATCAGTTCAACATGGCTGCAATTCATCAAGTGCTGATTACCTAGTTTAACTCAGAAGGCAATCTTATTTCGCTCATATCAAGTTGGAGAGGAGCTTTTCTTAACAGTGTTCAATTAGACAATAGTATATTTAATATATATGATAACTTAAACTTAATATGACCATTCAAACACTTGTAACACCTTACTTCAGGCCATGGAGCCCTCAGTCTTATCCAGAGGGTGACAAATTGCTGATGAGTGACATTTAAGTGGTGGATCTAAGTGGGGGGTCATTTTTTATGACACTATGGTCACTAGGAGGATGGAGGTGACATTGTGGTCATCTATAAGCTTCTGGACATCCTTTCTCCACAGAAACATCTACAAGCCACAGTAAGAGAAAAGTTGTGGCAGATGCCCTTTGCATTATCAGCTGCAATGTCTGTAGTCTGCTTTTAAGTGATCTTTCTGGGAGTCCCGCCCCACCCACTCTAGACAAAGAGAACTGCTTATAACTGCAGTAACTTCATCCCACCTCATTTACATCATACAGTAATTCCCTAGCCTTGGTTCACTGTTTATTATTATCTTGTGAAATTATGCCACGGCATTTTACAGGATTTCCCTGCAAGTTTCACTTTAGGTATGCCGTAACTCTAAAATCATGAGGAGCAGCGTTGAAAGAGAACTGGATCTGTGTCCTTGTACTAATTAGTGTGTGACCGTGACTGAATCACTGTTCTTTGGCCATCAGTTTCCTCATCGAAATTATAGAAAAATTTTGGACTACATGATTTTCACGGACCTTTCTAGTTTTAAAACACCAAGCACACCTGAAATGTTTTATGTAAGGTACATAAAAATGGGGTTCATTTCTTTATTGTCCCATTCCTGAAATGTGACACATGTTACTCTGGACCTCCGCTGAGCTTTCACTTTTGTTTCTTGGTGCTCTTGTTACTTGTTTAAAAGTCTGTTCCAATCTTCTTCATCAAAAAGGAAAAAAAGCTATAAATTTTGGGGGTTAGATATCTTGTTCAACCTTGTATCCTCCAGAATTTTGTATAAAGGGGCCATCTGATAGATGTTGGTTGAATTACATTAGTGTGGGACTGCCCCTGAAGCAAATGCTTTTGGGGTAGCAGATTATTAAAAGTTTGAGAAGTTGTAGCCCTGAAAAATAAGGCAGGACTTTGACAAGCTAGTTGACTGGATGTGTGGCAGTTCCTGGTATCATACTACAGTGACTACATTTATCAAATTATACAATAGTTTTATTTCCCTAGAACATTGAAAGAGTAGCATGACTTTAAATTTCTTAATGGTTCATTATAATTCTGGTGATTAAAGTAACTTCGGATAGTTCTGTAATTAAATTCTATCTAAATCCTGCGAGGATCAAGAAAATTTTTTGCATTGAAACCGGGAATTTCTACATTATTCCAGGCTTGAGAAAGGAAGACAGTCCATTTAGAATAATGTCAGTGCCATACCTACACATGTTCTGTTGGATTTAAGAAAAAAAATCAAGAAATATATTTTCTTCTCTTAATGGATTTCCATTTCTGTGTAGTGTTTTTCATCAGAAACTAAAATGTAGCAGTGGGTGAGGATGGGGGGAGCCAAATATAGAATTGGTGCCAACATATGCAAAAATGCCATGCAAATCTTTGGCCCAGAAATAAAAGCTTACCAAAATACACACACACAGTTGTTGGACTCTTGAACAGATACACAGCCGTCTGTATAGACAACAGTGCTGTTGGCCAAGAGTCCCGGAGGCAAGCCAACCTCCCATCCAGATGCTACTGCCAGTGAGGAACCGTTTGGCATCTAGTCTCTGGCTGCCAACCTTCCTTCCCACTCTCTGGCATGGCTTTTTATAGGGGCTGCTCAAGTAAAT